GATGAAGTTAGCCTTGAACTCAGAGATCTGCCTGTCTTGTGTCCCAAGTATTATGATTAAAGGATTAGTAGTGGTGAAAGAGAGGGCTACATGAGCAGTCTGGCCTCTGACCTCCACACGAGTGCCATGGCGCACACATGCCTACACACATAACAAAATGTAATAAAGTGTGTTTGTTACACAAACTCATGCCTGTATGCATATAGAAAGTAAAAGCTGAGATCACCTTTGAGATGCTGACCTACGCCCCACTGTCTCCTGTTTCCGGACCTGTGAGCTACAGCTGCCCATAGAAACGTTCCTGCCCACTTAGGTTTCTGAAATGGGCACATGTCACTCATCCATTCTCTCTCTTAAGTTATGAACTAGACACGACACAAAAGTTACCGTAGTAACTATTTTTAATGCTTACATTTCTGTTTTTGTATAACCAATATCCAGCACTCTCTCATTGTACAAAGTTGCCTCTTCCTCCTTGCATTCATACTTTCCACCTCCATCTTGGATTTTAGCCATAAACACAGAGTCGGTGGGTTTAAAGTCTTCATCACTGTTTGTTTTGGTTTATTTGTTTGTGGGGAAAGGCACACGGGATGTGCACATGGAGGCCAGAGGACTCTGGTAGATCCTTCTACCATGTGGGTCCTGCAGATTGATTGAGCTTAGGTCTTCAGGCTTGGTGTTAAGTGCCTTTTATCCACTGACCCGTCTTGCCAGTTGTAACGCCTTTATTGAGACTTTTTGCACAAGATGACATAAATGTTCAATAAATGGTCACTGGTTGATTTTTGTACTCCCCAATCCAATTCTTGGTTTAGGGGCACCTTAGCTTTGACAGTTGTCTAACAGTGCCCTCTAGTGTGGATGCTGAGAACAGCCTAAACCTATTGGCCTTTCTAGCAGGCTGTGACAATTTTTTTGTGTGTGTCCCTGTCATTTTTGTTGTTTTCTTATTGAGTTCATTGAGTCTCAAATTGTACTCAGTTGAAAGCTGAGAAGAGTATAGTGGTTCTGTAATCCTAGAATTTATGATGTAGTGGCAAGAGGATTGCTTTGAGCTACATAGTAAGTTCCAGCTAAGCTGTAGCCTGCTATAGAAAACAGGAACAGCCAGGTGCACTGTGTGTGTGTGTGTGTGTGTGCGCACGCGCGCGCACACACACGTGTTCCTGCTTTTAATCCTAGCACCACACAGGTGAAGTTTTAAGTTTGTGCATCATGTGTCCAGGCCATAGCTACACAGTGAACCCTGTCTCAAAAACAGAACAGACCAAACAAAGCAAAACAAAACAAAAAAGTGAACTCAACAGTGTTTTCCAAATTGACTACGAGGAACCAGAGGTTATTTTTTGTTTTGTTTTTGTGAAAAGCAATTCATTTATACAGTGAAAATGAATTACTGCATAAATTACATCAAAACACAAAAGCATGCAAAATAAAAACCAAAAATAAGATTCAACAGTTAAAAGTACATTCCATCTATTCTCTCCTTTTTCCATAAGACTCCCTGAACTCTGCCCAAAGTTTGGCTGTGAGACTCAGCATCTGCTTCCATCCCCTGTTGGGTGGAGCCTTTTAGAGGACTCTCTATAGTAGGTTCCCATTCTGTTCCCTTTCTTCCATCGCTTCTGGTGTTTATCCTGTTTGCTACTCTGAATGAGATTTAAGCATCCTCCCTAGGGTCCTCCTTAGTATTTACCTTCTTTAGGTCTGTAGATATTAATTGACCCCTTGCTCAGATATAGCCTATTGGCAGCTCAGTCTCCATGTGGGTTCTCAAGTAAGGGGAGCAGGGGCTGGCTCTTGCATGAACTTGGTTGCCTGCTCTTTGATCACTTGATCCTGGCAATGCAGCCTTGCCAGGCCACACAGGAAGAAGATCCAGGCAGTCCTGATGAGACTTGATAAGCTCTGAGCAGATGGCAGAGGAGAACTCCCCCTTTCAGTGGACTAGGGGAAGGGGGTGGGGGGGGAGAGGGAAGGAGGGTTGGTCTGGGAGGAGTTGAGGAGGGGGTGTCAATCGGGATATATAATGAATAAATTGTAAAAATTAAAATTAAAAAGAAGAAAAAAGGTACATCCCAACAAGAACAAACATAGCTGAGCAGTGGTGGAGTACAGAGTCCAGGACAGCTGGGTATACACAAAGAAACACTTTTTCGAAAAATAACAAAAAAACCCAACAAATATATAAAAGAGCAAACATAGCTCTGGGAAAAATAATGCCTTCATTGGTACATGTCTATTGATTGTGCGTGTTTTTAGTTGATATAGAGAATTACACTTTATGCTGTTCTGCTTTCATAATCAAATGAAAAATTATGAATAAAATAGTGTTTCCCTGCTTTTTCATGAGTATTACATATACCAATATTCAGTGGCTTTAATGGGGGAAAAGACTCTTATGAGTACGGAAACTATCTAGCCCAGGAGGAATGGACTGGCTTTGTAGACCAGGCTGTCTGCAAACACACAGAGATCTGCCTCCCTCTGCCTCCCT